TCCAACCTCCTCCTCCTCCTCCTCCTCTTCCTCCTCCTCCTCCTCTTCTTAGTCTTCATCTTAACTTTTTTAGATGTCAATGGCCCTTTGTTTTTATCTATGTATCTATCTATCTATCTATCTATCTATCTATCTATCTATCCATCCATCCATCCATCCATCCATTTATTTATATGCACTGCTGAGAATTGAACCCAGTGCCTCACACATGCTAGGCAAGCACTCTGCCACTGAGCCACAACCCCAGCCCTACCCCACCACTTTTTTTAGATTTTTTTTTTAGTTGTTGATATATCTTTATTTTATTTATTTATTTTTATGTGGTGCTGAGAATTGAACCCAGTGCCTCACACATGCCAGGCAAGTGCACTACCTCTGAGCCACAGCCCCAGCCCTACCCCACCACTTCTTTACATCATTTTCATTACTGCTCTTGGGGGGTATCAGTTCCCTCACTTTATCCTTTGTGTGGTCAGAGAAGGTTCCTGGAGCCAGAGGAAACATGCAGGCAACATCACAGTTTTTGTAGTAACAAGTTTCTGGATTTATGAAACATGCATCTAAATTTCTGTTTCAGTTGGTTTTGGTCCTATTACAACTAAGTAATTTTATTATTTGGCATCTGACCAAGGTCTGCCAACAGAGAATATGTCTTGTCTTGTTCTGTTACTATTTCCAAAATATCTCTTGAGTCAGTTTCACTGCTCTCCCTTTGTTCATGCTGCCAGCGTCCTTTGCACTACATCAGTAAACTCCTGACTGTTCTCAGCCTTTCTAATCTTGCCCTCCCCTCCAATGCATTCTTCCTCACAGCAGCCACAGTGATCTTCATAAAATGAAAGGCAAGTTATGTCACTCTCCAACTGACTTTTCACTGAATGATGAACCCACATATAGTTCCTAAACGGTTTACTATCTGGCTCTTGCTCAGATTTCACCATTTTCCTTTCACTACCAAGTCCATTAGATTTTCAGCTACACTGGATTTCTATGATGCCTGAAAGCATATGCTAAATTCCTTGTTGTAGGGCCTTTGTGTATTATTTTTCCTCAACTTGGATCATAGACCTAGAATATTTTTCCATCCAAGTCTTCACTTGTTTATGAACTTTCCCCTCAAATAGACCTTTCCTGACTCCCCTCCCAACCCTCTCCTACCCTTACTATTTCTCCAGAGAACTCTGCTATAACCTTCCCAAATGCTGAAACAAAATGTGGTTTCCTAGCTATATATACACCATTGCTTAAGAGCAAGTCTCTGAACCAGACCAGGCACAGCCTCTGGCTCCAACTGCCTTTTCATTAGATGAAGTAGGTCCTCTGGGTCTGGCTGCTTTTCTCTAGATCAGGAATCTTGAAGTTTCAAAGAAAGAAGGGCCTTTATGAGTTCAGACAGTTATATAATCAAGTAGGTGCAGAGAGTGGCAAACTGGAGAACAGATGTCAGTTATTCAGTTCTAACTATTTGTTGCCAGAATGTGCTTGATTTATTGATTTTTTTTCAAGAGACCAGGAATTCTGATTTTCATATGAGATCCAATTTCTAACTGTTGGGATTTTTAAAATCCTAGAGCAGACTAGCCAAAACGTTTGGAAAAAGAACAAAGTTGGAGATCTCACACTTCCTAATTTAAAAATTATTATAAAGCTATAGTAATCAAAATGGTGTGGTACTGGCATAAAGACATAGACATAGAACAATGGGATAGAACAGTAATCCTAGAAGTAAACCCTTGCATAAATGGTTAAATAATTCCCCGCCTCCTCTTTCCTTCCATACTGGGATTGAATCCAGAGAGGCTTGCCACGGGGCACATCTCCAGCCTTTTAATTTTTTTTTTTTTAATTTTGAGGCAGGTTCTCACTAAGTTACTGAAGGCCTTGCTAAATTGTTGAGGTTGGTCTCAAACTTGTGACATTCCTGCCTCAGCTTCCTGAATCACTGGGATTATAGGCATACATAGTATGCTTGGCTCAAATGATTTTTGGCAGGGATGACAAGACCATTTATTGAGGAAAGAACAATCTTTTTAACAAATGGTGTTGGTAAAACTGGATATCCACATGCAAAAGAATGAAGTTGAGTCAGATGTGGTGATGTCCACCTGTAATCCCAACTACTTGGGAAGGCTGAGGCTGAAAGATCAAAAGTTTGAATCTAGCCTAGGCAATATAGTGAGACATTGTTTCAAAAAGCTAAACAAAAACAATGAAGTTGGACCCTCACTTTACACAGTATAAGACATGAACTACAAATGATTCAAAGACCTAAGAGTAAGATCTAAAACTATAAAGTCTTAGAAAATCAGAGGAAAAGATTTGGCAATGATTTCTTGTCCAACACCAAAAGCAGAAGCCACAAAATTAGAGATAAAATTAAACCATATCAATGTAAATTTCTGCTTGGTGTGGTGGCACATGCCTCTAATCCCAGAAACTCAGAAGGCTGAGGCAGGAGGATCACATTTTTGAGGCCAGCCTCAGTAACTTAGCATGATCCTGTCTTAAAAAAAAAATGTGATGTAGCCCTTGTATTTGATCCCCCAGTATGAGAAAACACATTTTTCTGTGCATCCTAGGACACAACACAGTGAATAGGCAACCTGAAAAATGGGAGAAAATCTTTGCAAATATTAAGTCTGATCAGAGGTTAATATACAGAATATGTGAAGAACTTAATAGCAACAACAAAACAAATAACCTAAGTGAAAAATGGGCAAAAAAGAATATTTTCCAGAAGATATACAAATGGAACTAACCTTTACAGAAATATAAATCAAAACCACAGTGAGATAATACCTCACTGTGGGTGAGAATGGCTGCTATATATATATATATATATATATATATATATATGGAACAAGTATTGGTAAGAATGTAGAAAAGTTGGAACTCTTTGTACACTATTGATGGGAATGTAAAATGGTGTAACTGCTATGAGAAACATTATGGCAGTTTCTAACAGTACTAAAAATAAAATTACCATTTGACCCAATAATTCTAATTGTGTGTAGATCCAACATAATTGAAAGCAAGCTCTTATGTGTGGGGGTGGGGGTGTACTGGGGATTACAGCATCTTGCATATGGGCAGGCAGTCCACATTGAGCTACATCAGTAGCCCTGAAAGCAAGATCTTGAAGTGATGTTTGTATATTCATGTTCATAACAGCATTATTTACAATAACCAAAAGGTAGCAGCAATCCAGTGTCCATTGATGGGTAAATGTATAAAATGTAGTGTATACACAATGGAATAGTATTCACCCTGCAAATGGAAATTCTGCTACATGCTACAATGTGTATGAAATTCAGGACATTATGCTAAGTGAAATAAGCCAGTCACAAAAAGACAAATACTGTATGATTTTATTTAGATGAAGCTTTTAGAGTGGTTAAACTCATGGAAACTGAAAGTAGGACAATGGGTTATAGGGGTTAGGGAGGGGAAAATGAATTGTTTAATTGACAAAAGCTTTAATTTTGCAAAATGGAAAAGTTCTGGAGATTATTTGCACAACAATGTGAAGTCACTGAAAGAGGTTTTTTTTTTTTTTTTTTTTTTTAAGTACTGGGGATTGAACCTAGAGGTGCTTTACCACAGAGCTACATGCCCAGCCCTTGTTTGAGACAGGCTCTCGCTAAGTTGCTAGGGCCTCCCTAAATTGATGAGGCTGGTCTCCCGACTTGCATTCCTCCTGCCTCAGTCTCCTGATTTGCCAGGATTACAGGTATGTGCCATGGTATCTGGAGACTGAAAGTCTTAAGAGTCTGCCATGCCCTTAGCCACACATTATGCCATGTGACCTTGCTTTTGGGGTCATTAATACACCATACATAATGGGCTAGACCTAAGAAGCTGGACATGGAAATGCTGCCAATTTTTGCACATTATACAATGAATAATGCAATTAGAATGATCCAATTAAATTGTTAGACGCAAGAAACACCAGGGCAGGCCAGGTATAACAGAGGCGAAGGGAAGCTTAATTCTGAGTGAACAACAAAACTGGTCAGGTCACCAGAACTACTTCTTTTAATCTTGAGCAGTTGTGAACCACATTCCTCAGCCTTGAGGCTTGTGTGGCTGCTGAGGTAGTTCCTGTGTTCCCCACTTCCTTGTGTGATCCTAATACAAACTTGCATCTTTGCTAACAAAAGCAACTCTCTCCCTTGTTTCCCGCAAGCACCTCCCACCCTTTTGTTTTGGTAGCTCTAGCATACAATGGATCTCTGCTTTTCCAAGGAAGGAAACAGTATTCCACATTGATCAAGAAATGGGACTCCGTAAGTTTAATTTTCATTTGAGAAAAATTCTTTACTGCTTTCACTCAGGAGATAGGAATTAAAAATGCTCTATGAGAGCTATGTCCCTACCCTTTTTAAATAGTCTTGCTGAGTTGTCCTGGCTGGCCAGATCTTTCATCTACCGAGATGCCTTTGAATAACTGAATATGTGACTTTAAGGGAATATCTTGGAATTTCTATAAAAATCACGACACACATCTCATCCTGCCCTCTTATTTTCTCCTCCCTGATTGTCCTTCAGTTCAGGTATCCCTCTGCCTCTCTGCTCTCCAGTCTTTTCTTTCCCACCACCCGCTTCTCAAAGGGAGAAAGCAGACTGTAGTTTAGAAAGGGGGCGGCAATGCTACAGCGGGTCCTGCCTTCGGCTTGAATGATGGCTCTAAAGGTAGTGAGCTGCTTCTTACAATGGGAGTGTCAAGACGCTGCGGAGAAAAGCCACAGAGGAGACTGCAGCTTTGTCTTTCCTAATTCAGAGACAGAGGCAGTGACAGGCGAGTGGCCCTCAGGTAGAGCGGTGCTGAGAGAGCTCTCCCCACCACGATAACTGGCAGGACCGACACTAGGAATTGTGAGCGACCAATTGGGGCAGGCGCTTTTCCATCCGGGAACAGGGCGAGACCCTTTCAGTCAATCCTCGAGAGAGGAACTATCCGCGCCCAGGGTGCTCGCCAGCCGGCTAGTGACGTCATCCCGTGGCGCCGGAAGCGGAGGAGCCCGGAAGGAGTAACGTGAACGTTTTGGTCTCGTCAACTCTAGGTAAGGCGGTGGCCGACCTACGTCGTCTTCTGGCCATGTGGGTTGAAGGAGGGTGTCTGCAATAGGCCGGGGTTTCTGCTATCCTTGAGCAATGTGGCCTGAACAACGCTCTCACGGCTTCTTTCTTAGTAGATGTGGCTTCATCCTTCCCTCCTGCTCTCGTGGGCGTGTCTCAGCGTGCGTTCACGTTGGTCTCCGCCCCTCTTTGCGACACCTGTACCCACCTCGGTCGCCTACAAGCCGAAAAAAAATCTTAGCTCACGGACCCGCCCCAACCAGTTGGGAAAAGTACTTTCCGCCAGAAACGCCTCCCTTCGCGGCGTCCTCAACAGGCCTTGTAGGAAAAAGACTTATAGAAGCAAGCCTTTCCTCGTACACACCAGTGAGCGGATCTGCAAAGCAGGGATATTTGAGGTTCCATCCCATTTGGAATTAATGCGGCCCATATTTGGACTCTAGGGAATTTGACTTACGTTGGGAATTTAGTAGAACACTTTGAGTCAGGATTGTTCACTTGGGGAGACAGTACAGATTTGTGTCTTTTGACCTTAGTTGCACAGTCTTCGCTTTTGGATGATCTTTTATCATATCTGAAGCTCCTCCTTTAATCCTATTTTCACTATTAACAGGAATGGTAAGTGTTGACTTTAAATAACTTGCCTAGGTTACACAGTGAGTGTAAGATTTGAACTCAAGTGGTCAAGATTTGAACTCAAGCAGTCTTAAATTTGAAGTCTTGGTTGGTCATCACTATCCCATATTGATTTCCTTCAACTATTCAATAAATTCCCAAACACCTCACTCTGTTGTTACCTGTTATTTTATGGTGTCAATTACAGTCATCAGATATGTTTTCCCTCAAATTAATTAAATTTCTTCTTTTTTTCTTTCTACTGGAGATTGAATCTCCTGTATGCTAGGCACGTACTATACCAGTGAGCTATATTTCTACCACCTTTTGATACAGGTTCTTGCTGAGTTGCCAAGGCTGTCCTTGAACTCGGAATCCTTCTTCCTCACCTCCCAAATAACTAGGATTACAGGTGTGGACCACCACCCCCAGCTTTCCTCTCAAATGTCTTTCTTTGTTTCCTTCTTAACAATGTCATCTATATTTATACTCATCTTTCCTTTTCCTTTAGCTTCAGGATGAGTGTGTCTCTGGCCAAAGAAATCCCTTGATCTTTGATTCTGATCTTTTTTTATGCCTTTGTTTATAAGACCTTGTTTTCATTTGTCATTTCTGCCCCTTTCTATTTGTGTTCCAGTAAGAATAAATAAGTTCCTGACACTCCCAACTAAAGAAAGAAAACATTTCTGATGATTGTCTTCCTTTTGTTGTCCACTAGTAACTCTCTTCCCTTTGTTATCCATACTGTTTTAGAGTATTATAAATTCTGTCCCCATTTTCTCACCTCCCATTCTCTTTTGCAGTCTAGCTTTCAGACTCATTATTCTCTTGACATTTCATCCTAAGGTCGCCAGTGATAGGTTACCAGACCAATAGGCATTTTTCTTTTCTTCCTTCCTTCCTTTTTTTTTTTTTTTTTTGGCACCAGGGATTGAATCCAGGGGTGCTCAACTACTGAACCACATCTTTAGCTCTTTAAAAAAAAAACATTTTGAGGCAGGGTCTCGCTGAGTTGCTGAGGCTGGCTTTAAACATGTGATCCTCCTGCCTCAGCCTCCTGAGCTGCTGACATTACAGGCAGGTACCATCACACCTGACAAGATAGGCATTTTTTGGGTTTGGGGTTGTGGCTCAGTGGTAGAGCACTTGCCTAGCACATGTGAGGCACTGGGTTCAATTCTCAGCACCACATATAAATAAATGAACAAATTAAAGGTCAACACCTAAAAAATATATTTTTAAAAAAGATAAGCATTTTTCAGTTATTACTGAATTCCTTTACTGCTTTTGGAACTTGATCATACCTTTTATACCTTACTCCTCTGCTTTCCAGGACAATATGCTCAGCTGGTTTATTCAACAAGTATTTATTATGATACAGAAATGAGCAAGACGGATATTTTTTTTTCTTTAAAAAGTTTACATTCTAGTTGTTTCTCCTTGTGTTTTGCTTACCAGTCATTTCTCCTGTGTATATGGTTTTTCCCCTTCCCCTAAAATATTTGATGTTTCCAGTGCCTGTGATTTTAGCTCCTTTGCTCTTTTCATTCTATATACACTTTCTGAGTGAGTACATTAAATAGCTTGGTTTAAAGTACCTACTCCATGCTCTCAAATCAAAGTTGTCAGGTTAGACCTCTTTTTTTTTTTTCTTCTTCTTTTTTTAAAAACCTCTTTTCTTGAGATTCACTATTGAGCTACTTCCCTGGTCCTTTTTATTTTTTATTTCAGAACAGGGTCTTGCTAAGTTGCTGAAGCTGGCCTCAAACCTGCAGTCTTCCTGTTTCAGCCTTCTGAGTTGCTGAAATTGTAGGCATGTGTTACCTATGCCTGGCTTCCTGGATAGCTGTACTTGCAAGTCCCACAGACTTCAGAGGCCTGAAACTGAACTCAACATCTTCCCCAAACTTACTCTTATTATATTCATCACTAAATCTTGTTTTTACCACCTAAATGTTTCTCAAATCTTTGTTCACTTTTTTGTTCCTGATACAGTAGCTCACCCTACCCTCCTTTTTTTGGCAGGGGACACATATGAGTGGGTGGCCGAAGCTGTAAATAGTCTCTGTCCCTACTCTCAAATTATACTCTTTTATGGTTTCTTTTAATTGTCAGCGTCAGTTTTCATTCACCACATTACTTATTTCCCAGTGCATAACAAAGACTTGCTTTTCAGTCCGTTACCTGCACATTTGTCAGATTCTAGAAAGTGCAAACAGATGTCCCTCAGAACACACAGCATTTTAAAGTAGGACCTGCCTATAGCACTGTCATCATTTGGGGCTTCAGGTTTAGGATTTTAGATTTACAGCTGAATTTTTGTGGTTCTTGCATCAGTTTCCTCCCGGAGACCTGCTGAGCTGCCTTTTGAATCTCTGTGGTTTACATATATATTAACAGCCTCTTGACTAGTCTCTGACTCTAGCTTTCTCCACTCTACCCTGCCTGTACACAGCTGTTGGCAAAATGTTGACTTCTGTTGTTTCATTTTACTGTGAAGCTCAAAACCTGGTGGTTGACTAATATTGATTATGTTAAATTTAAACTTCTCAGTTTAGTGTTCTTTGAACACTTGTGCCATTTTTTTTTCCTTTCTTTTCTTTTTTTTTTTTTTGTGTGTGTGTGTGTGACTCTCTGGGACAGCTCCTCTGGTTTAGCAACTAAGTCTGCTTTCTCTCCCTGGTCCATGGCTTGCCATTGCTGAAATCTGTGCTGTCACTTATGCTTTTAAAAATGAAATAATGAAATACCCTTTCCTACTCTTTTCTTTCTTTATCAGTCCCCTTGGTTTCTGGCCTTCTCTAACTGGGTGGTTTCTGGAAGCCTTTCCTGACTAATACAGGACCTCCTTAGCCTGCATATTCTCATATTAATCTAGTTTCTGTGAATTTGCACCTTTTCAGCTTTCATTTTCTCACTCTGCTTTGTATTGGCTTGTCTTTGCAGATAGTAATGAAACTCTGATTTTTAAAAATCTGTTGTCTTTATGAACACTAAGTTTTTGCAGACAGCATAACTGCTGCTTTGACTGCAGGCCTCATTTCTCTGTGAAGGGGGGTGTCAGAGACATGAGCATTGATTTGGAATCTAGGGGAGGTATCCAAAAGATCTAGTCCTGTACTTACCTGTGATTCCCCTTTCCACCTCCTAGGTAATCTCATTCTCTCTTTTTGCCTTAGCTTTATGTTGATTCCTATCAAATATATATGTTCTGTTCATCCCTTTTTCTTTCTTTTTTTAAAAAATATTTATTTTTAGTTATAGTTGGACACAACATATTCTATTTATTTATTTATTTATTTTACTGGTGCTGAGAATCACATGTGATTCTCAGGGCCTCACACGTACTGGGTGAGTGCTCTACCGCTGAGCCACAACCCCAGGTCCCAGTTCATCCCTCTTTCTCTAGCTTCATCTTTGCATATCCCCACTTGACCCTTGGATCTTCCACAGACAGCTTAAACTAATTGTGTTTTAATATCAAATTGGTCCTTCTTCACCTTCACCTCTGTCCTTAAATTATGTCTTCCTGTATATTTTTCATTTTGGTTAATGGACACCTTCTAAATTAGAAATTTTGATTTGGTGTCTCTCTTTACTCCTTTGTCATCCCCCAAATGTCATTAAGTTTACCTTCCAGATTTCTCAGGCTTTTCTGCTTTTGCTTGGTCCATCTCTCCTGTGAATTTCTTTATTTTTTTCTGATAATCTAAAATAACCTTTATTTTCAAAAGAACATCAGCACCTCCATTGTACAGGTTGTATATTATGACAGATGGGAATAACATGTATTGTTTTAATAGCAGTATATTATTTCAATTAAGAAAAGAAAACCTTCTAATACACATAAAGACATCTAAGAACTGAGGAACATCTTTGTTCTTATGTTCGTAGTTCTCTGATAGGCAAACTCCTTCACATATTTTAAAACCCTGATAAGTATTCCTTCCTCATGAAACCTTTTTAAATACCCTCCTCAAGAGTCAGTCAGTTCTCTCTCTGGGCTAATGCCACATTTGGTTATTTTCTTCTTATAGTGCTTATGTAGCCTTAATGTCCAGCACATAAAGTATATGAATAAATTTGTAACAAATGTTTGATTGCTTCGTATGATTCAGGCAAGGAGGTAAATACCTGTATTATTTCATTGAATCCTCACAGGAGCCTGATTGGGTCTTGTCATTATCACAAATTTATAGGTAAGGAAATTGAGGCTAGAGAGGTGAAGTCACCTGCCTCAAGATGAACAGCTGATAAATCACATGTTTGATGGTGCTAGATTATAGCCCTGGAGGACTTGTACTTGTGCATCTGTTTTTCCAGTGATTCTCTTGTTTTATCTCTCAGTGATAATGCGGGTGTGCTGGTTGGTGAGACAAGACAACTTGTACCAGCGAATCAAACTTCCACATTTGGAAGCAGTTATGATTGGGCGTGGCCCAGAGACCAAGATCACTGATAAGAAATGTTCTCGACAGCAAGGTAATTGGTCATAGAAATGTGATTTCCATGTTTGGTTCTAGAAAATAGTGATCACCAAAGATGTATATTTCCTGGGTGCTCTTGCTGGAAAACCTATTGTCTACCAAAAACTCAAGAACTAATCTCATTTAGATAACACCAGGGCCCCATTTTTTTGATTCCATACTCCCAATGTGGTAACATTCCAGGCAGGGGGAGGAGAGGGTTGGGAACAGGCAGGTTTATCATTTTACCGTGGGATAATGAAATTGAGTCCTGTATACTGCTTTGTCCAGGGAGATTCCATACTGGATAATGAGACAGATTAATTTTGGAGTCTCCAGACTGAAATCATGTCTAAGAAGCAATGGAGTGGTGTCATCCCTTACATATAGCCTCACACAGAGGACAATGTCTTTTATAAGACTATATGGTATGCAGTTCTTTCATAGGGTTTATTTATTTTCCATATTTTTTATTGGTGTATTATAATTACATATAATGGTGGGATTCATTGTTACATATTTGTATATGCCCATGATATAGCAGTATAATTGGGCCAATATCATTCCCTAGTATTTCTTCTTTTCATAAGAAGAATGAAATGAAAGTCCTTGCTCTCAGGAAAAAGCCTTACTGTGTACCTCACTGTTTCCTGTAAACTTTGGAAAGACCCAAGATACAGAAGCAGCTGCTGCCTCTTCCTATCCTGCTCCTCACAGCAGCAACTCTAGGGCATATGTGTGTGTATATCAGCCGGTGTATCTACCTATCTTTTCCTGATGAGCAGCTATGGTGTTTCTTGCTCCCTGTCTCAATCCCAGATACTTAGTTCACTTACCTGCACATGAGTATTTAATGTGACCTTTTCTTACACATGCTCAGACTGTTCCATTTCTGCAGTTCTTTTTCTAAAATATTTTTTCTTTTAAAAATATTTTTAGTTTTAGATGGACACAATACCTTTATTTTACTTATTTATACTTATGCGGTACTGAGAATTAAATCTAGTGCCTCAAACATGCTAGGCAAGCACTCTACCACTGATCCGTAACTGCAGCTCCTCTAAAATACTATTTCTTTTCCTTCCAACCAAGGCCAACTGGGCTTTCTGTTTTACCTCTTTTCTCTGTTGAAGGTATCTGATAATATATATATATATATATATATATATTTTTTTTTTTTTGGTACCAAGAATTGAGCCCAGGGTTATTTAACCACTGAGTCATAGCCTCAGATTTTTTTTTTTTTCCTTAATGTTTTATTTTGAGACCAGGTCTCACTGAGTCCTTAGGGCATTGCTAAGTTGCTGAGGTTGGTCTCAAACTTGCAATCCTCCTGCTCAGCCTTTTGAGTCACTGGGATCACAGGTGTGTGCCACCATGTCTGACTATCTGATATATGTTAAATTTTTTGTTGTTGTTGTTGTGCTGGGAATTGAACCCAGAGCTTCAAGCATGCTGGGCCAGTGCTCTACTACAGAGCTATGTCCTCAGCCCCTCTTTTCTTTCTTTATTTTTTTTGGTACTGGGAATTGAACCCAGGGGCAGTTTGGCACTGAGTTATACCCCCAGCCCCCACCTTTTTTTTTCTTTAATTTTTATGTTTTATTTTTGAGACAGGGTCTTGCTAAGTTGTTCAGGGTCTCACTAAGTTTCTGAGGCCAGCTTTGAACTTGGGATCTTCCTACCTCAGCCTCCTGAGTCACTGAGATTAGTCACAGGCATGTACCACTGTGCCTGGCGATAGTTGTTTTTTAATAATAGTGGAAGCCTGACTTAATCCTGAGCCAAGAACTTGGGTTTCTTGTTGGCAAAGTCTATGATCCTGAGCTGGCCAGGGGTTCTAGCTTAGGGAATCTTGTAGGGATTCACTGAAGCTTTCTCATAGGATATTATCAGTAGCTAAGGGAATATGTATACTGATGGACATTCTATGGAAGGATTTGGAGCTCTTAGAAATTGTAGGATTTGGAACCCTAGCCACCTGCATATCAGGCAGTTGTTCATCTGTTAGGCTGCCTTGTGCATTAAGGCTTCATTATCTTTTAGGGAGAATAGAAGCAAGTGCCTGATTTGTGTTGCATTTGTGTTTAACTTTTTCTAATCTCTTTCAGTACAGTTGAAAGCAGAGTGTAACAAGGGATATGTCAAGGTAAAGCAGGTATGTGTGTGTGTAACTTGGATTTCCATTTTATACTTAATGGTTTGCCTTTAGAGTATCTGTGCCAACTAGCAAAGGCTTCTCTGACATGTGTGGAAGTGATAGGTGAGCATTAAGCATAGTGACTGGCACCATAGTAAGTGGTCAGCATAGCAGCAGCTATATTACTTGTGGTGGTGTTGCTATTATTATAATTATTTTCTGATTATTTATTCCCTAGGTTGGAGTCAATCCCACCAGCATTGACTCAGTCATAATTGGAAAGGATCAAGAGATGAAGCTGCAGCCTGGTCAGGTTCTCTACATGGTGAATGAACTTTATCCATATATTGTAGAGTTTGAGGAAGAGGCCAAGAACCCTGGCCCAGAAACACACAGGAAGAGAAAGAGGTCAGGCAATGGTAATTCTGTAGAAAGGGATGCTGTCCAGGAAGCTGAGCCTGGGACAGGGGTGGAATCTGGGAGCAGCCCCAGACCATGCTCTATGGCCCCTCAAAAGGAGAAAGATGCATCTAACAAAAAGGTGAGGGAAGTGTGATTGATAGATGATGTGGAGATTAAATGAGATATAATGACTGCTTCATTGTTTTGTATACTATAAAGCCAAGACACTTGTGAGGGGTAATTAACTATAATGAGGGTTATTAACCATGATGAAAGAGTCACTTGTTTGTCACATGAGAATCATTTGGGTGAATGTCCCTTTAAGTGCTCGTCTCTTAAATTCCTGAGGTAAGCCACTTGAAGGAAGGTAGTATGGTAATAATGTACTTAACATTGAACACTAAAATGGGTCATTTGTATATCTGTAGAAAGTTAACATTGTATTACTATTTATAGATCATGTAGTTCACAGGCTGATATCGAAGTGAAAACTTGTCAGGCTGTAGTTGGAGTGTGAGAGGGCAAAGAAGATGTAATTCATGTTCTGGCATTTCTGGCCTCCATCTTAAAACCTAGTTCTGAATATAGGAAGACAATTATTTTCCTAAAAGGCAAAAAATTGAAGTAAAGGAAGTCTAATTCTCAAAATCTAACCTTCAAAATTTTGTTAGACTTTTCTGTCACATAGTGATAACTAGTGATGAATTATTTGCATTTGCAATTTACATTGTCCTTTTTTGTTTAGGACTCACTGGGCCATTGGAGTCAAGGCTTGAAAATTTCTATGCAGGACCCCAAAATGCAGGTCAGAATAAAATTTTGAAACTTAAGTACATTTCATGTTGTACATGACCACTCCGCAGAGGCCATATTTACAAATGAAATCAAAGGTTATCAGTCCTTCCAAGTGAGATTTGTTTTGCTATCCTATGAGAACAAGTGCTTTTTCCCATTGGCAAAAGATTCTTTGAAGAGAAGCTAAGTTCTTCAAAAGAATGTGCCTTCTGCCTTGTTTCTTTTAAACTTTTGTGTATTGTTAAGAAAAGTCATGTTAACTTTATCATGGTCCCTTTTAAGGGAGCCTCAGGTAAATGTCTTGTGACTGTAGTACTGTGCTGCACTAGGATTAAGTCAGCCATCATCCCTGAGGAACCTTTGAGGTCTGCTTCCATTACATCCTGATTGACAAGGGACCAGGTCTGTTAGGGCTCCCCAGAACCCATGCACGTATATTATGCTGTCCCCTGTGTTATAGTAAATGCATTTGAATTGATGCCTGCAGAGATTTTAATATCAGGTCCTTGGAAACTATTTTGTGCCTTGCATCTTTTGTGTATTCTGTATAGTTTGGTGGTTGAAGACATGGACTCTGGAGTCCACTTCATTTGTGTTGAAATCCTAGATTTCCCACTTAGTGGCTATGTGACTTGTAAGACACTTTTAACTTCACTCTCAGTGCTCTTACTGCTTTTTTTTTTTTTTTTCCCCCTCACCTCCCTTTGCACAATATAGTTTTGGGAATTAAGTGACTTAATGAATATGATAGTACCTTGCACACAGAAGAATCTCAGATGTCTGTTTCCTGCTCTTTTGCCCCTCTGCTAGGTTTACAAAGATGAGCAGGTAGTGGTGATTAAGGATAAATATCCTAAGGCTCGTCATCACTGGCTGGTCTTACCATGGGCCTCCATTTCCAGTCTGAAGGATGTGACTAGGGAACACTTTGAACTCCTCAAGCACATGCACACTGTTGGGGAAAAGGTGATTGCAGATTTTGCTGGATCTAGCAAACTCCGCTTCAGAATGGGCTACCATGCCATTCCCAGCATGAGGTATGCTTTTTTATTTTTTTCTTTTGGTACCAGGGTATTGAAGCTAGGGGCACTTAACCACTGAGCCACATCCCCAGGCCTTTTCTGTATTTTATTTAGAGTCTCCCTGAGTTGCTTAGGGCCTCACTAAGTTGCTGAGGCTGGCTTTGAACTCACAATCCTCCTGCTTCAGCCTCCCAAGGGGCTGGGATTACAGGCATGTGCCACTGTGCCTGGCAAGCAATTATTTTTAATGAGTTTAATGATCATTTTTTTTTCTTCCAACTAGCCATGTACACCTACATGTGATCAGCCAAGATTTTGATTCTCCTTGCCTTAAAAACAAAAAACATTGGAATTCTTTCAATACAGAATACTTCCTAGAATCAGAAGGTAAATAGTATTCTTTGGTTTTTGCATTTTTTCCCCCCTCAAGCATATTACACTTGAATCAGTTGTTTTACTAAATAACAACCTGCCCTCAAAAACCTGTGTACAACTTTATGTTCTCTACAAAGAGGGCACTATTAAAAAAAAACTGGAATATTTAGATTGTAATATAATTGTCACTTTGCTCTGAGCAGCCTTCTTGAGAAAATTAGTAAGATGTAAGGGTCAAAAAGTGTTTTGTTGTGGCAACAGAATTATTGGAGTCCATGGATGAGAAGGCTCTGAACAGTTGTGTCTTCTACTATCAGGAGGATGGGCAGGAGCTTGGGGGCTACCTCATGTCAGAGTGGTTAATGAATATGGGAAGCTGTGTATATTTGGAGTAAGCATTGTTTGGTATATATTCTGTGGAACTTCTATATCACTGAGGTGTTTATGGTGGTAGCTACCATTGATCAAGGGCCAACCAGGTGTAAAGCTCTGTGATAAGTCTTGACATAGGAACATGAAGCATGTTCTGAAGGAGTGTATTGTCTCAAAGATTGCTCAGATTTAGATCTGATTATCAGGCCCATTTTCCAAATGTGAAGTCTACCTCAAGTTTACGAGCTTTAGAATATCTGACATAATTGACTGGAATTATGTTTTTTTTCTTTTCTTTTTGGTTATTTACGTACCATTACATTGGCTTTCCAGAGAGGCTAGGATCTGAACTTTTCTTCCCTGCTTGCAGCTGTGATCAAGATGGTACAAGAGTCTGGCAGAGTGACTGTTCGAGATGGGATGTCTGAGCTCTTGAAACTGCCCCTTCGTTGTCATGAGTGCCAGCAGCTACTGCCTACCATTCCTCAGTTGAAAGAGCATCTCAGGAGGCACTGGACAAAGTGATTCTGCAGATCCTGAACTTCTGCCACAAGTGTGACTGATGGGAATGAACTTGCTAGCACCTGTTTTGGGTTGCTTGTGAATATTTTCTCATTTCCCAAATTAAAACATGCAGTTTTTTACAAAGCTTATTTTATTCTTGAGTGGCTACAATGTAGGGTCGCTCAAAATAGTTCAGGAATTATTAGGTAGAAATGGTTCAGGAATTAGGAATGTGTTCTCTGAGGAGGTTGCTGGGACATGCCCGATTGCCATCTCCAGGACCAGCAGAGGGGCTGGTCGTGTTTTGGTTCCTTACATTTATCTTCTCTCTCTGGAGGCATGTGGGACCTTTTTGGCACCTTTTTGTCAAAGTAGCTTGTTTATCCTGAAGGCTCTGTGGGGTCAAGTTCTCTGACCTTAATCTATACTATACTAGTTTTCTTTCCTTCTTCATCGAGAGTACTTAATTTGTTATGTACCTTCCACTCCTTCCTACCCAAGGTCACCTAAATGCTCCCTTCTCAGGAAGACCGTGTCATCAGTTCTTTACTGAACAGTGAGGCTAATTGAGAGGGCAGAAGGTGGAGTCTTCTTCTAGTACAGGGGTGCTGCCTGCTGAGGAAACACTCAACCAGCCATGTTCATTGCACTTTTGCACTCAGGTCTTTTTGCTGGCCTTCTTGGATCTGTCCATTTGCTTGAGGCATCTCTCCCAAGTGGTTGAAAATTATTGAAAGTCCTACTGACAATCAATCAGTGGGTTCTAATGTATATAGATGGTTCACAGAACCACAGCTTTATTTTTCCTCAAGAGCAAATTGGGATGGAACAGTTGTATCAAGTTGGTTTTTGGGTAATATCAGGACTAAAAGGAAAGGGAAAGCTAAAAGTTGATTTTGATCAAATTGTTAATATATTTGTGGATAACTTTTTATTTTTGAGTAGTGATAAAAAGAACACCATTAACAAAATCTTCTATGGAGAAAAAACTTCAGTGTATAGAGACCATATTTGACCTCAGTTTTTGTCACAAATAAACAGGATGCCACAGAAGTTGCTTATTGAGCATGGTTTCAGTAGTAATTAGTGATTATAAAGCTACCATTTTCCAATTTCTATGTGTTCATATTATACTAAACATTTTATTCAAAATTATTTCATTTAGTTCTCATGTACATAACTCTGTAAAGTAGATACTATTGTTATGCCCCTTTATGGTTGAGTATCTAATATTCTGTAAAGAGTTCTGGGCTCCAAAGTTGGTCTTGGTTTTGATAACTCAAACTCATTATTTCTTCTGTCAGTTTAACAGTATAAATGCAGGACTATCCATAAGGGGCCATAGGACCCAGGGCCCTTGGGCTTATATTGATCAAAAGCTTCCCATGGTATTTCACTGATTTCCCTGCAGCCAGCCAGTTCTTATAAAGCCCTTTTAGTCCATTTTTCATATATCATCTCTGTCCTCTGTTCCTTCTGCACTCCAGGAATGTAATCCTTACTGTTATGGTTTGCATGTGAGGTGTCCCCCAAAAGCTCTTGTGTGAGACAGTGCAAGAAGCTCAGATGAGAAATGATTGGGTCACAAGAGTCTTAATCCAATCAGTGGTCTAATCCCCTGTGGGATTAATTGGGTGGTAACCCTAAAGTGGGAGGGTGTGGCTGGAGGAGGTGGGAATTGAGGCGTGGAGTCTCTCTCTCTGCTTCCTCTTCACCATGTGAGCGGCTTCCGTCCACCACACTCTTCTTCCATGATGTTCACCCTCATCTTGAGCCCCAAGGAATGGAGTCAGCCTTCTGTAGACTAAGATCTGCAAAACTGGCAGCCCTTAAATAAACTTTTCCTCCTCTACAGTTGTTCTGGTTGGATCTAGACCTGGCTCCTAAGAGCCTGGGACCAGGGTAACCCTAGTTACAGCAGTGAAAAAGCTGACTAAAACACTTACCTTGTCAGCCCATTTGCCCATCGTTCTTTCTGTCTGTCTTGATAGCCTGCTTGATTGTCTGCTTTCTTGCAGTGGTCCACTTACTCTGTGTCCCATCAAGTTCTTCCCCAGCCCACCTGCAGAAGAGATGTGGTTTCATATCTTCCCCTTTTGCTGTCATCAGGCACCAAGCACTGAAACTCTTCAGAATTCTGGGTAGATTAGTTAAGGAGTGTCATTTCTGACTCTGCTACTCAGAACTGAAGGATCTTGGTCAATTTACCTATTTTCTTAGCTTCTTTACTCACATGTGTAAATGGGCACATTAGGGCACAACACGATTAAATAAAATAATCCATGTAGGGCTTAGTAGAGTATGTAGTAGGTAGATGACCCTATAAATGGTAATTGAAAGCCTCTGGTATTATCTTGGTGGAGGTTTGAAAGGGGTTTGCCTGATCTGTTTCTCTGTATCTGGTACCTTAGGGCTCTTAGAAATTTTCTAAAGATTTTGGACTCCTAGGGTCAGAATTACTGGTTTCACTTTAAAAAGTATAAATACCTTGGTTCTACCCTAGAACTACTGAATCATAATCCCAGTGGTCTAGGAATATGCATTTTAAAAATTGAAGGTGATCTTTATTCTATTGAGATTTGAGACCCACAGTACAAATCACTTTGGCTTCAAAGTACCTTGCATTTCTAAAACTTCCAGATTTGGTTGTGCCCTTCTAGGACATAAACCATCAAATTCTGATTGCCTGCCTAATTCAGTTATATGGCTTCCTTCTTTCAGCATGGTAAGGGTTATTTCAGATTCAGGGAGACATTAGGCATTAGGAGAGGGAGAATGTCTGTCTATAGGGATCGGATTTTCTGCAGAGGCTAGGGTGAGCCCCTGGTCCCAGGCTCTTAAGAGCCGGGTCTGAAGCTGATGACTGTTCCCCTCAATGGCTCTTCCCTTTTCATGCTCAGAGGTCAGTCCTGTGGCTTGGTCTGGGACATGTAACAAATTCTGCCAGCTGTAGGCACAGAGTATAAGAATTTTTCTTTCTCTGGTTCTGTCTCTGATAGCCAAGTACAAATGATTCTTTCAGGGACCAGATTAGACTTGAGATGGTTATAAAGAATCTTGCAGTTTCAGAGACATTTTCTAGAACTTGGCATCTGGTAGTCACATGCACTGAACATGGCTGGATATCAGTGACTTAGGGCTTATCTGTTAGTTAGAGTAACTGTTACCCTCTGCTCCCAACAATTCCAACTAGAAGACTTTCAGAGAAAACTGAAGATTCTACTGAAGATTAAATTTAAAAAAATGTGAAAACCATGAAACCATGTGTGTGTGTGTGTATGTATATATGTATATATATGTATGTGTGTATATATATATACACACACACACACACACACATACCCATTTCATATGTGTTATCAAGGAGTTAAGATTCTAGGGGTTTGTGGACCTCTATGTAAGAATTTCCATTCTAGAGAAAAAAGATTATCACTATCCCTCTAGGATGTTTAGGAGGGGCATAGGGTAACTACAGGGGATTAGGGAAAGCCCTCACCTCCAGGACATTTTTTGGGATGCTCTTTGATCTCAGTGTTCCCTCTTCAGCTCTTTGGTTGTGGACAGAAGGCCCTCTCGGGGCCTCCAGTTGGAGATGGAATTCAAGACCAGGGACTGCAGGTTCCAGTTTAGCCTCCATACTCAGACAAGAGTCTTGGGATATGGGGTTCAGGAACCCTGGCTAGCAGACTCTTTGTAAGCTATGTAAGGGCATTCAGTCTACTAGGATGAATGTCTAGGGGAAAAGAATACCAGTCATCTGCACAGATAATATCAGTCATCAGCTGCATTGTGACTATCCAAGGACAGTGGGAGTTGTAATACTTGGGTACAGTATGTTAACAGTACAAGCTGTATTGAAGACACAGCTTGTAGCAGTGTGTACTGTTAGCTTAAGGCAGAGGTTTTATGAAGGCCCTAGCCAATGCTCTTGAGAATTATAGAACATTTAACCAGACTTCAGGTAAAGTTTCTTTGGTGTGCCTTTTAGAAAAAAGATTCTGCAAGAGTGATTTATTTCCACCAAATTAACAATTCTATATAGTTTAGCATACCAATATTAAGATCAAAATGGATATTTGATTAGCAATTCTATCCCAGGAGAGACTATCAGACATGAAATGTGATGAAATCAAGAAAAATTTGGAAGAGTAGGGTGACCACCTTCAAATCCTTTGTTCAGCCAGTGACGTTGAAAAATCAATCCTTTAAGAAGAAGAAAATGTGAATAATGACTGGGAGAGACTAGAAAAAGGATATGAGATATTGAGTGATATATGTCCTATGACCCTTCTCTCTCAGTTGGGCTATTTTTTAATAACTAGAAGAAAAAAAAAAAAAAAGAAGACCTTTTCTACACCTGTTTAACCCGAATTTATCATAACATTACAGTTTGATGGAATCTTCTGAGGGTGTAGGCAGTACTCATGTGAAAATGTAAGTCAAAAGCAAATAACTTAGATTTGTGGTTCCAAATTCTACTATTTCCTCCATAAGGGGCTATCCTTTTTGTCTTGGTCCCATCATAGCCAGGCCAGGCAGCAATTTTATTAAAATAAAGCAGTTGAATATGGATGGATACCTCAATCTAGCCAAAAAAACAAATGTATAGTCTAGCTCCTCTGATACTGTGAAAGAAGGTAGATGGAGTTGACAGAACTAAGCCGGAACTCAGAAACTGAGAAAGTGAGTTACTTATAAGAGAGCATGAAAGAGCTGGAACTGAGAGTATAGAAAAGGCCTCTCCATTAGACTCTAAAAAGGAGAAATCCAATATCTAAATACTATGTCCATTTTTTAGCAAACAAATTACCACCAAGGGATGGTTTGGGGTTTTAGATTGTAATGATTAGGATTTTGATGCAAATCAGGATGGGGTTTGTACATGAGCATTAGGTAGGCAATTTTCAATGACTTATTAAATTAGTCACATACCCAAGTGCTTGAGAGCTTAATTTCAGGGAAAGGAATAGCCAGGGTGTGGGGGAATGGGAATGGAGTTTAGATATTCAGGCTTCTACTGAACTCCTTTGGCCTATTCCAATTTTGTTTGTGATGCTGTGAATCCAGTGCCTTGTGTGTGCTAGGCAAGTGCTGTATCACTGAGTTACAACCCTAGCTCTATTTTTATATTATTTTTAAAATTC